TCATCAAGGCAATGCTAGCTCCGAGCGAGAGACGTCAAACCAAACGGATACCTTCTTCTCAGTAGACACGGGTGAAACGAAGTGCATTTCGTCAAAGCAATTTCGTCGTCTTCTTAAGAAAGACAAAGATGTCGAATATGTCTTCATAATTCAGCCTCGTCAACCAGAGATAATTACGAAGGCTACCAGTATTGATGACTACAAGGATCATGCTATCAATCCATATTTGCAAAAGTACGAAGGTCTATTTCGGCAGAAATTGCCTGAGGAACTTCCGCCAAGGGAGCATGGCGAACATACGATGGAAGTTCACAGCGATAACCCCATTTTCCGTCAGCAGTGGCGCCAGTCTCCTGCCCAAGAAGCAGAGATTCGACGGTGGGTCCAAGAAATGTTAAGGTCTGGAATGATTCGACCTTCGACTTCACCACACGGGGCCCCAACGTTCTGCGTTAGGAAACCGGACGGCTGGAGAATTGTCTATGATTATCGAGCCATAAACTTGAATACTGTCCGTCGAACTCTCCCAATGCCACGGAAGGATGTGATTCTGGAGAAAATGTAAGGCTGTCACTACTTTTCGTGTTTGGACCTTTTGAGTGGTTACTATCAGTTCCGAATGCATGAGGACGGTATTCCTTACACAGTGTTTCAAACTCCGGATGGCTTGTTCGAGTATTTAGTGGTGCCGATGGGTCTATCGAACGCTCCCGCAACGTTTAACGCTGGGATACGTGCGGTTCTGGCGGATCTTCATGATGTTTGCCAATCATATTTTGATGATATATACGTATACGTCTATACGAAGAGTCTCGACGTCCACGATCATCTTCGAGCACTCGACCGAGTATTTGCCCGACTACACAAGCACAAGTTCTATGTGAAGTTGAGTAAGTGCGTGTTTTGCGCTCCATCCATACCTTGCCTGGGCGACATCGTTGGTCGAGAAGGCGTAAAGATTAGTCCAGCAAAAGTTCGAGTGATCCGACAATGGCCACTTCCGAAAACAAAATCTAAGCTACAATCATTTCTCGGGACAGCCACGTACGTCCAACGTTTCTGTGATGGCTTCGCTGTGGATGCTGGACCACTTTTTGATTTACTTAAATCTACTTCCAAGATACTACCGTGGAATGACAACCTTCGCCAACATTTTGAGTCCTTGAGAAGAATTTGCCGTACCCCAGTGCTAGGAATCGCGGATTTTACTCAACCATTTTACTTACGGATGGACGCATCAGATTTTGCGATGGGAGGTGTATTGTTTCAGAAGGAGTTTCAAGCTGGAGAAGAAACCGAGAGACCAATCGCATTTGCCGGCCGGAAGTACAAAGCAGCAGAGAAAAATTACTCGATTCGGGAAAAAGAGCTTCTTGCGATTCTATTTGGCCTTCGCACTTGGCGTGTTTATCTCTTAGATCATCCGTTCGTCGTCGAGACGGATCACAAGAGTCTGGAGACCGTGTTCAAACAGAAGACCATCTCTCGAAGAATAGCGAGGTGGTATGACGAGCTCGCCGAGTATCAGTTTGAGATTCGCTATATCTGTGGACCAGAGAATAGTGTGGTTAATGGAGTTTCAAGGCGACCTGATTTTGCAGAGCCAACAGATACGATCACACTTACCAGTGTCACCACTCGGTCACAAGTTCAGGCTTGTGTATCTAGCAGCTTACCAGTTATCGTCGCTGAAGCAATTTCTAGATACTCAGAGGACACAACAACGGCCTCCTTAATGGACGTGTTAACGGATGCAAACAAACTCCCTGAACACCACAAGTCTTGATGTACTATTAAGAATCTTCAGAGATATTCGCTGGCTGAAAGGAGAATTTGCTACCAATCCAATCATGATGCTGGATCTCGACTCGTTCTTCCCCGGATACGCAAAGTACTTGAGCCAATTATTGCGGAGTTTCACGATAGTCCAGCCTATGGGCACCCTGGTATCGATCGGACGTGTCGGCTTGTGGAAGAGAATTACTATTGGCCTCACATGATCCGAGATATTACACGATACGTGAAGGGCTGCGAGATTTGTGTGCGGACGAAGCCACGGAACGAGAAAACGCCGGGTCTACTTCATAGTCATGGAATTCCTGACAGTCGGTGGAGTCATGTCGCTATAGATTTTATTATCCACCTTCCTCGCACGTCCGCGGGGTATGACAGTGTTATGGTAGTGGTGGACCAATAGACAAAACGGGCTCACTTTATTCCTGCAATGACCACTGATTCAGCCAAGGACGTCGCGGTGCGATACCAGCAGAA